TCGTTTTGTATTCACACCGAGTTACCAGCATAAAATCACGTTCAAGATGATATTTAGCGACATTCCCGCGGATCTTGTATCGATCAACAAAGATCGAGCTGTCAAGGCTCTCCATACCGCCAGCGATCCTAGGGGAATCCGACAGAGCAGAGAGGAACGTAGTCGGAACGCTGGTAGAAGTTTTGTTCAAACACTCTTAAATACGTGCTCCTTCGGCGGCGTTGCACGTGTACGTGCATTCGACCCCGAGAGCGGGTACACCTATGCAAATAGGTAAGATCAGGCCCGGCCTTACTTATCTGTCCGCGTTTGTGTTCCCCGAAGTCCCGCTTACTCTTTGCAAACAATGTTGCCAGGCACGTCGTAAGTATCCGTGCTAGTCGACGACGCGCTCTCTCTCTCTCTCTCTCTCTCTCTCTCTCTCTCTGCTTTATTCTGACTTTGAATTTGATTACTTAAATCGTATTTACTTTGTCAAGTTAAGTTTCTGCTCGTGCGTATATATACTTGGGGATCGCAAATCGATATATAATGGATGATCGATTAACGGCTTCGGTTCCGTTATTAATTCTTTATAGTTACAACTAAACATTTTTTTCTAAAGATTAGATAATCTTATTTTTCTTTGATCACAAATTCTAATAAAGCAATATGTACATATATTGTGAACTTTATATTAAAGAAAAAAGTAGTCTTATTGCTGATTTTTGCTTTTTAATTTGTAATCATGTATGACCTTGTATTATAATTCAATTTTTATGTAAAATTCATACGTTTATTACTTCAATCCGAGAGTATAATTAAAAAGTTATTCTTGTTATAGACTGTCTCATTAGACTAACAAAACTAAGTTCAAAAACGGTATCATTTCTTAATTGATTTGCGCAACAAATTTGAATTACAAAATTTAAGCAGATGAGCTTTTGATATGGATTTTAGAGAAATCTATAATGCGATCGAAATCTTTCTTACACCGCTCGTGACGTTTGTTCCCCATTGAAGACACGCCGCGTGAATTCACACGAGCGCGAATGCAAGGAGAATCCAAGGAGTGCAGGGGGACGTATTACAGTGGGGACGAAATAATTTCCTGGTGTCCTCCGCAGTCACGAAGGACGAAGAACGGAAGCGAACTGGTCTTTCACAAAGTTTCTTGGACACTCGAAGAAGCTTCTCCCTCTCCTGCGAGAAATTGCCGGATAATGGTCCCCGGTAGACGGAGCGACCAAGTGATCCTTACGGGATAAAGGGTGTGTCGCACACGTACGTACAAAAGGCGCCTGCCGCGTGCGTGTGTGCACCGGTTCCTACAAAGCCTCCCTGCTCCTCCCTGCTCCTTCTTACTTCTCCTTGCTCCTCCTTACTCCTCCCTACTCCTCCATACAGAATCTTAACGGAAAGACCAAATCTCTACATCGTCCTTTTCGACGTAATGATTGCGCCGTGTGGCGCTTCGCCCTTTGCTACGCGAAGCCCACCCTCTCGTGTATTTCGTTGCTCGTAAATGTCAGTTAATATAATCGACTCATGAATAACTCGAAACTATTCATGCAACTATTCAGCAATTATCGTGCCATACATGCAATTACGTAAAAGTCAAGTTTATTGTCGTGAACATTATTTACATATATCTAACAATAAGAGTTCTATTTTTATTCAAATTTAAAAATAAAAGCTAAAAATAAAGGCGACCTCTGTATGTGCCGAATTTGATAATATTTATAATAACGTACAGGTGTGTCCAATCATTTCAGATACAATCGTGATAAATTGTCAACTAATGAGTTTTTAAAAATAAACGTATTATGTCAGATACATGTGTTCGGATAGCACACGAAAGAAAATCGCGAGAATTTGAGTAAAGAACATTAACTTTATTTTCATCACATATCGCACAAAAAAATTATCAAAACGAAAGTAACAATGATGACGAAAAGATTCAAATAAAAAAAACCTTGACCTTTCGCTGAAATTTTCTCCGTTTTAAAGAAAGAGATCCATACTTTTTTTTTGTAAAGTCACGAGTATCCGTTTCTTTAGCATTAAGTATAAAGGAGTGGATATCTCTTTTTCCCGTTCGCGATATAATGGGGGCTCGTCGAGTTTCTCTCCTCTACCGAGAGTACACCCACCCACTTGGTAGCAAGCAACCTCGTGATCTCTCCGACCTACTCAGAGAAAGAGAGAGAGAGAGAGAGAGAGAGTGTGCGTGTGTGTGTACATGCGCGCGCGCGCGCGCTAGCGACTAACTCGGAATCCCCCGCGGTCGAAGGCACTGGTCCGAGAAATTCAATTACTGCTAAACTTCTCGACCGGAGACTCCTCGATTCTATACTAGTGTAAGCATCTCTGTTTCGAAGATCCACCAGAAAGACATCTTACGTATCTCCCTCGTCTCACAGGTACGCGCAGTACATTTGGGATCGTAATTGAAACCAGGTGTACGCGAAGGGTTTCCTTATAGTGACGAGACAGTACTTTTGTTATTTTTTTGTGATTTTCATTATTTTTAACGACACTGATTTATTGTACCAACAATCAATATTTGTAAAATCGAGTTGGGCCAGCAGATTAACAAATCAATAGATATCGATATAAATAATTTTACAGTAAACTAACTTTTCTAATAATAAAGATAGTAAATTGAGAATTTACACCAGGTTACCTTCACTATATATGTAATCTACGATTAAAGTAAAAGCTAAACTTTTTATTTTTTCATTTTTTAATTTTTCTTTTCCAAATAAACTTTAGTTTAGCAAGCGCTGAATTTATAATAAGCATGTATTATGAATTCGATATATTAAAAAAAAATGTTAAAAATGAAAAGATGAGGAAAGAGACATTCCAATTCGGTGAATGAAACAAACATTATCACGAAACACATCTACAGATATTAATTCATAAATCTTAAAATAGCGAGTAAATTTGTGTAACAAAAAATTGTTGATTTATTAATTTATTGATGTGTAATTTCATATATCAGTATTAAATTAAAAAAGCGTCAAATCTGTCACTTTCTTCTAGATCTAGAAATTTATGCAACAAGGGATATGATAGACTCTAATCCAAATTTCCTAATTACTTCTGGAAAGTAGAGAACGTTTTTCCTTTCGACCTTTTCATTTTTTCTCATTGGCAACAGAATCCGTGTTCTGTAAAGAATCGCGGAAACATCTCCCCTCGTAAGAAAAAAATGTTCGCTCATGATATTCTTCGTCGACATCGTTTGCCCTTTTTTGCACGCTTTGAATTTGGAAAGCCTGGAAGGCGATCACTATCAACCCTCCTTATCTTCTTCGTTTCTTTCTTGCTCTCTACGTGATATAATCGGGTACTCTGTGATATACCATAGAAAGCACATAGAGCTTATAATAAAAATTGCATACAGCGCCAAAAATGCTTGCACAAAAATAAAGACAAATGTTAATTTTTTCATGCAATTTGAGATACGCGTAAGATACGCATAAGATTTAGTAATGTATAATTCTTTTAGATAGTAAATTAGATTCTTATTTTACTATTAAGTTATTATTATTTACGTATAAATATGTGATTCAAAATATTATCTAGATTTCCCCAAAATAGTGTTATTACTTAAACAATCGAGCGAAAGAAGTGAAAAAAGACGATTTGCATTAGTAAAGGGTAAAAACATATGGTCGAGCAATTAAATGGATCGTTCTGCACACTTATTGCAAGTGCAAGTGCTGAATGGACACGCGTGTAACGAAATATCACGATGCAGGTAGATTTTAATAACCGTAACTATATATTTGCAATGCGAACGCAACGAAGGGCAATCTCTTTCGAACGTCACTGCCAGAGGTAACAATAAAGTGCGATATGAGCGATAGAAAAGCGCTACATAGAGTGTTCGTAACAAACCGATAATCGATTACAACTGCACTGAAATAAAGTGATGTCGGTCGACAAAAAAGAAAGAAAGAAAAAAAGAAAGAAAGAAAGAAACTAAACCCGATGTGAGTAGAAACGCATATTCCGGATACAAATATCTTTACCGTACATTTACTATACTAATCCTTTTGCGATTTAATTCTAACTTTCTTTCGTTTGTCTAAATGAGAAATGCGTTATGCGTGTAAAGTGAAGTGAGTATCTGAAACGAATATAACGAAAGATTCTAACATTCAATATAGTATACAATGGACTAAATATACAAAAGTGTACGTTGAGAGATATCTCTTGTTAAAACAGAACTGAATGAGCTGGCGAATTTGTCCTTGTTGTTGACACGCAAAATAAGGTGTCAGCAAGGTGTCAGAAATTTATCAGAGGAGCTAGAGCGCGCTTGAGTATATACATAGTAGACAAGTGTAAACGCGTACATACTGTACAACTGATCGTTTATAATATCGTTATACAGAGCAAGAACGAGTCGTCGTTTTGGAAAAGAAATTCGCGGAAGAACGAACGAAAGGGTCGAGCGTGAACGAGAGAATTAAAAGCCGCCACTAACGAGTACGACTTTTGCTTCGAGTGGCATTTGAGTATAATAAGGGCCCGCGAGCTTGTGACCATTATTTACTTAACAACATTATGGCCTGCGGCCACTTGCCCTACTTAAGGCGTGGTACGCACGTTCTTAATAGGCACTCGTGTGGCACAACTCACGTGTGTGCCAAACGCACATGCGCGCCCGCTTCTTAGTCGCGTGCCGCCGATTATTATTGCGCTCGTATATATCGAGCTTTTGCTAAATAGCGACACTCTACTTCCTTCTCCGCTCTGAGAGCACTCTACTCGTATGTTCAAAACTAAAAATCAAAGATATTATGCTTTGCAGAGACAGAGAAACGTTGTGTTTAACGACGCGTTTGCGCATGCGCCTGTTATATTTTATAGTTATACATTTACAATTAACTAGAAAATTTTGATAATTGTTTGAGAGATTGGTTGAAGAGTAAAGTTTGACAAGAAAGAAAAGGTCAGATCTTTTTTTAAACTACAGAGTAATATAATTCACGCTTACCGACGACAGCATCATTCTTTTCGACCTTGGATTGCCGGTATTCGTCCTGGGTGGATCTTTTTCTCGGTAGGAGACCACATTCCGCAGGCTGCTGTTGGTGCTGAAGCTGCGTCTGGATATGTGCGGCAGCGGCGGCGGCGGCCGCCGCGGCTGCCGCGGGTATCGCGAGACCCGCCGGACTCGCTACGTGCGCCGGGTGCGGGGGCGGGCTACCAGCTGGCGTCGCACCAGCGGCCGCCGCCGGTAGAACGGGGGCAGTATTGCAGCTGCCGGCATTGTATTGCAATTGGAGGCCCAATTCGCGCGCTTCGCTTTCTTCCTGGGCCTGTTGCCGCCTCAGCGCGACCTGAAACATTTTGTTTGTCGCTTCAGGATGATTGAAGATGACAAGCATTATGTCAAATTCGCTAATATATTGATTAAATATTTAGTGAAACCAAGTTGTAGTAAAATATTTTATGTATAACAAATAATATCCTCTTTGATAGTATATACATCGCGCGCGTAATTGAATGTTCTTATATTCCTATATAAAAAATATATGTTGTAATGTCATTATTTATTTTGAAATCTTGTCATCGCAAACCGTGCAGGTTACAAATTTTATATAGTAGAATTTCTCTCATACATTACAAGCACGTGAGAAGATCACAATTGTGTATTTTGATTATTCTATTGGAGAAAGCTAAGTATTTGCAGAAAAAGGATATTGAAATTCCAAACAAAATCGAATTAGGTCGAATATAATCCACGATCATATCGACGGTACTCGGAAACGAACTCTCAAGTGTATAATGTATAATATTACAATTCTCTCTCTCTCTCTCTCTCTCTCTCTCTCTCTCTCAATTTTGTTATACGACTTAATAATTGTATCCATGATTTGACGGCACTTATTCAATTTATAGTTATACCCGCGTCTATAAATTAGAACAACTGTCAATAATAGTTTATAGAGGAAAGCAGGATAATCGAATTAATGTATTTATTATACATATATAAAATAAATGCATAGCTTATCTTCAATAAAGATATTCGGATACAAGTAATTTGAACGACATATGTGTAATAACACGTTGATTGCAACAAACAATGCAAAGACGGTGAAACAAAATGATGAGAGAATCAAATTAAAATTATAAATATTTGGTTCTCCAAAAGAAATAATAGAGTAGTATTAATAAAATTCGAATTAGCGATTAATTTAAAAAATTCAATTAAATATTTCGTCGATCTTTGGTTCATTCTCTGACTCTATTTACCCGTTGTTACAATAATTATGAAATTTTAATACATTTGATATCATATTATTGTATTAACAATCAATTTAAAAAAATACTTTCTATCTCAATTTTTAACATCACACATATATCTATAATACATCTCAATACTAACATTTTTATCGAAATTTAAACAACAAACTATTATCAAAGATATATATATATATATATATATATATATATATATAGAGCAATAGATTGTAAGATTCAAGCATCTTTTTTAATATTTTACAAAATGTTATCTTATTCGCAAATTTCCTATACTCTTCTCATATTAAAAAAAAATTCACAAATCAATATAATTTCAGGAAATTAAAATAATATGCACCCGTGTTGCGCTACAGATATACATATAAAAATAGATAAAATTTGTTTATATTTATTCGCGATAATACAAATGATCACAACTAACAAATGTCCATTAACGTCTTCTCTCTTTTGCGTTTATTTAAAATATAATTACGAAGTTATATACGCGCTGGAATATTTTGCATTTTATATGCGCCGATAGTTTTCCCAAGTTTACAAGACACAAGTAGGGGAGACCGGGGACAAAAATAACAGGATATAGTTGTAACATCGTGAATATTTTTAAAACTATAATAGATATATGTATGCGGCGATGAGGTAAAAATCATTAGACAAATCGACATTGATTTGTTAGTTCCTTATCGGTCCACACGAAACGTGCACGTATGCAGGAGCAAAAAATACTTTCTTCATTCGTCAAGTAAGTTTTATTATATGCACAAAATCTAAAATATTTTTGTTTTTTAATGGTTGGAAGTTATAACGTATTATTTAAAAAGGTTTTAGTGATCATTTATGTTGAAGATTTGCATATTTTAATTGATTTTCATCTATACACATATATTTACACATATATTTATTTTGAAACTTTATTTCGGACTATGAAATATCATTGGGGAACAATTGTAACATCGATGCCTAGAGACGGTTGTATAGCGTTATAATTGTCTCCGGATTTGCTTGGTTTTATAGTATTTAAGTCTTTTTTTCACAATATTATTTGAACTTATTAGAAAGAAAAAGAGCTTTTTTACGGTTTTATATAGATTTTGTCCTTTTTGTTTTATTATAGTTAATTTTATTAAATATATATTATATATATATCCATATAACATTGACATATATGATTATAAATAATTGTATTGCATAAAACTTAATAAATAGCTATAAGTGTTTACTTATAAATAATATAATACAATCGTCCCCCTCTACTGTTACAACCCACCCTGATGGGGCTGGAGACAGTTGTAACAGTATTCCTCATAGTGTTTAAACAGTATAATAACTTTTTTCCTTGTTACATTACAAGATTGAACACAAGAAAATTTTGTACTTAAATAAATTCTACATCTAAAGATACGGGTTTTTTTAAACGTAAATATGCTAATTTAACTGTTATAAGACTTTAAATTCAAAATGTTACTTTTGTCCCCGGTCTCCCCTAAAATCCCGCATGGTAGGAAAAACTGCATGCGTTTTCAAAACCATTAAAACGTTGTGCCGTATTTGAAAATGACATATTTGCCGCATACAGCAGATTCCCAGAGAATCTTACCTGAGCAGCCATCACACGTTGCCTCTCGGCTATAAGGGTGCACTTGGCACACACGCAATCCCGCCATCGGCAATAGCGCTTATGCCCTTTGAGCGCGGACACGACTCCGTGATTACGACATCGCGCACACTTGGGGGTCCGCTGATATCTCTCGGCACTGGCGCGCAGGAAAAATGCGGCCGGTAGCACATGATGTTGCTGCTGCTGTTGCTGATGTTGCATCAGTTGGCCCACATCGACTCCTAGACCGACGCCGCGGGGTAGCGACATGATCGCTGCTCGACGTTAATGACACTGTCGTCGATAGGAGCGGAACCTCTCCTCGATCGTATACTCCGAAATAGAAAGTTACTCCGCGCAATCACCGTGCGCCGTGGATGATCCGAATCGGGCGCAAAGCCGCGTAGTCGATGACACCCGCCCCCATACTGAGGACACGTTTAAAAACACGTATATACGAAGCGAAGACTTCCTCTCTGTCGTAGACCGACGATGATCGTGCAATTGATATACCTTCGATGTATTCACACACGATGCGTACCGCGATTGTGTCACCCGATCCAACGAGACAATCAGGTCTTTACGCACACTATCATGGAGACTGTGTTCAAAATTTAACGCTTATGATTATTCGCGGCAAGAGCAATGGCAAGTAAGTAGGCAGATACTTCCTACGTGTAATCGTACGCGCGCACGCGCCTGTTCTTCCGTAAGTTGGTACGCGGCTATCGCACGGAGAACAACACCCTCTCGTTCGGCTGCCGGGGGCCGAAATGCGGAATCGCGTCCCGCCATCCACGCTCTTGCCCCCTCTCATTCTCTCTCGCTCGCCAGCATTGTCAACAATTGCAGCATCCCGGGTGAGTCGATTCAGGTAGCGCGCGCGGATAGACGGAGAGGCGGTAGTGCGGCGCGGCAGCAAAGTGGGAACCCAACGGGGCCACAGTCGGCGCGGCGGCAGGGGAGAGAGAGAGAGAGAGAGAGAGAGAGAGAGAGAGAGAGAGAGAGAGAGAATAAGGAGACAGAGATGGAATTCGTGTTCGAGGAGGGATAGGGCAGAAACTAACGGTCCCCTCCATACTCCACGCGAGCGCGAAATAAAACACTGTGCCACAGTGTTCCACCCCGAGACCTCGGCCAAACGCGAGGCCTCATCGAGCCACAGCCACGCCTCTACCGGCCGCCGATTGGCAGGCTCGTGCTGTACCAAACGGAGATGTTAAGAGTTTATATCTGCCGTGGAGTGAAAGGGGGACATACCTAGCCACGTACCCACCTACCTACCTTTGCCCACTCACCCCGAGGTCGATCGTGTGTATCTTCCGCACGACGGTGATGGTGGTGATGGTGTGGTGACGATGATGGGATGGTGACGATGTGATAGTAGTGGTGGTGGAAGTGGCGGTGGCGGCGGTGGCGGAGGCAGTGGCGATAACGGTGGCGGCGGCGGTGGCTCCTGCCGGTGGTGGTGGTGGTGGTGGTGGTGGTGGCAACGGACAAACACATTACTCTTTTATTTAAAACCCGTTCCAGCATAAAACACAATGCGAAACGATGCTCAGACATTTCTCTACGCTCCGCCTTTTGTTTCAGCCGACAGTTCTTAACCACGCACGCCTTTCTCGTCTTCTCCCTCTCAAGAAACGTGTCTTCTCTTTCTTTTCCTTCTTTTTTCTCTCTCTCTTCGTTCATACCGTATTTTGATTCATCTCTCTCTTTCTCTCTCTCTCTCTCTCTCTCTCTCTCTCTTCCTCCCTCCCTCTACCTGCTGCCTTCCCTCTTCCCTTTCGCCATTCCACCCTCCATCCCTTTCTCCTCTCGCTCCCATTCGCTCTTTTTCGTTGGATACGGTCTATAAACCGCAACCAACACCGTCATCGCGACGAGTCTTCTTTGAATCATATTGTACAATGAGATTTGAATAGAGAAGTGAGGAGGGAGAAGGAGAGCCCCATTGTCGTTTCACCAATGGCGGCCGATTTTATAGTGATCTAATGTACAGATGTTATTTACCTCGCAATGAGAATAGAATAAAAGCATTGTGTGCATTATGATTTGAATCCCGTATCTCGCTACGTTTCTATACCTACCCTCCTACTTACCTACCTACCTATCCTCACCCTCTCTAGCCCTAACTCACCTAACACGCGCGATGTACGTAATGTAGACGTACACGAAAGTTGTACACGTTTCCGACCCTTTCACTTAAGCCCGAAAAGTAACAATCGTGGTGCCAGTTATCTCGAATAAATACTACGATATATTGCAGGTTTACGAAATTATATTACGAACTTATATAAATACACGGGATTGTCTCTAGAAAAGAGATATACAAGTATAATAATGACAAGACTGAGGAAAGGATTTTAATAAGGATTCACAGAATAATGTATCTATTAATTTTTTGACAATAAAGCTGAAAGATTAAAAAGATTGAAAAACACGATTGTCCACGTGCCAAATATGTTTCATATTTTCCATAGGCCCTTTTTACATGCTGCTTGCTGAGCATTATTATCATGGATAAATAATAAATTGTACTTGTCACAAATCGTAACGTAATAACGCGTCATACGAAACCCCCAATTTCCATTCGGTGAAATTATTCACATTGTAATTTAGCAATCGATAAAATTGAATATGTCTGTTGCAAGCATCATCGAAAGTGTCATACGAGGAAGCATAAATACAATCGCGACCGGAAATTACTTTTTTCGATGACGCTCAAGAGAAGATTTTTTTATTTGATAGTAAATTTGAGCAATAATAAAAGTATAAACGGGAGAGAGTTCGTTGACGTCGGCATATACCTGATGTACAGCACAGACACGGACCTTTTTTACTCTCGCACATCGGCCACTCAAAGTGAACGTACATGCCGATGGGGAAATCAATAAACCAATATGTTCGCCAATATATGCCCGTTCATAAAGTATCATGTACTTTTCGTACCAAAATCGAAATGCAAAATCGGAGAAATCGTATATAAAGTGGATGAAAATGTCATCTTTCAAAAACCATTCATTCTTCTCAGCCATTAGAAATCCATGAATCGCATCGATCATATTAATATGAAGAATTGCAAAATTATGAAAACTGATTGTAATCTTACAAAAAAAAAAAAACAATAATTTAACAATCAATATGTGTGCGCCCGCGCATACATATTGTAATTTAATTACGTGTCTATCATACAGATAAATTGCGCTCCTCTGATGTTTAATGAAAATATATAAAGATTCTTTCTCATTGCAAATTCTTTTTCCCATGGCACGGTCTTGAATTCTTCGTACTCTCGAAATGTTTCCAAAAGTATCCTATTTATCTCTGATACATGTTGGGTTTACATACTCGATGGAACATTGTTCGCTCACGCGAACTCGAGATTTCCCGCACTCTTGTATATAAATGGTACGATTGAGATCGAGATCAAGATCGTGGCAATATCGAATTACGATGTTTGCAAACGTCGAATTCACCCCTGACACTGTACTTTATACGGACGGTCGGTCGAATAAGAGCTGCGATCGGATAAGCGAGATTAGATTATATAGTTTCGTAGGAGAAAGCGCAGGTAAGAAATATATATGCTTACACGATGCTTCGATTCCTTTTCAACATACCGTCGTAACAGTTACAATGTATAACAACCTGTTATTTTATTGGATAATCTGAGAGATCATTCCAATGTAAATTTTGAAATGTAAATCCCCAATATGCCTGTTACGTGGTACAATATACCTATATGATAAAATGATAAATTGTTGATACGTTTACAAATTGATAAATTTAGGTTTTCATTACTCCATTTAAATAAAAAAAAATATATATATATACATATATACGTATACATATAATTTTACAACGGATTTTAAGTCAAGCGAGATGTTTAAAATAATTTTTCATTTTAGTGTTTACTACGTGGATATTTAGGAATTAAAAAATCCTATTCTTCCATAAAATTTACATTGGACCGCCAAATTTTGCGTAAAAGATTAGATATTTTGAAGACTTTGATTATTTGGTCGTTGTCTCTTTTGCGCGCGTCTCGAATGCTCTTATAGATTAACATTAAAGCCTAAAGTATATCGATTTTTCTGGCAATTGCCGAAAGAAACGAGAGAAACAATGATCGCTGCTGATTAATGCTCGCATCCTAGACGAGGCCACCACACGTATTATACTATTATGTCGGTGTATACGTCATCCACGTGGATTCATATTATACCTACTGGCGCGCGCCATTCAGGCTGCTGTCGGATCGCGATGAAGCTCGCGCGATCTCGTCGCGATCTACCGCGCTGGTGAAATACCGTATGACTTTTTGACGTGCTTTTAACAGATTGAATTGAAAATGGCTTCGAGGCCCTCTCCCCGAGCGCATATCCATATCCTGCAAACCGAACGAACGAACGAACGAACGAACGAACGAACGAACGGACAGACGAGGGAGACACGCGAGAGATATAATTCTTCTCCTCCCTCTCTCCCTCCTATCTCGATCTCTCGATCTCTCGCCGATTTACCTACCCTGGACTCCGTCATTCGCCACCCTCCGCGGCACGGACTCCGTTTCTCTCTTTTCATTTTTGCACATTCGCTGATGCGGCACATCGCAAGCTGCGCCGGCGGAAACGATGTCGGGAGGGGAGAAAGAGAGGAAGAGAGTGGGTCTGGACCGGTCAGTCCGTGTAGAAGTCGCGGAGGGGGCGAGCAGAAATAATGTCCTGGCTCATTTTTTTTAAAGCCGCCCCCGTATCCTGCACCGGTAGGATGGTGGTCGGGAAAAAAGTGACTCTACGGGGGAAAAAAAGTGACGGACGCGTAGAGGAGGTATAGCCGGTATAGATGCGAGTGCGGAGCGCGCGCACGCTCGGATCCGATATTACGGCGATAGCTCGACATAGGTCCGGTTGGTGCAGGCGGTCGGCCGGTCTGCCACTGGATGTGAAACGGTCAAAGCCAAAAAGCACTCTCTGCCGAAACGGGCTATATATTATCAGCAACCCTTCAAATACAGAACCGTCCGCGAAGAGATCCATACATAACGTATAACGTGTGTGCGTAAGCTCTACTCGTCCTGCGAAATCGCCAGCTCGAAACCCACCGTCTATTCTCGAGCTTTAAGTATTCGCATCGAGTCAATTTCATTCTTTAGACAATAAATTATTTTTTTCTTTTTTTCTTTCTCTGTACCTCTTTTTACAAAATAACAAAGACTAACCGTTTTCTCTCGCATATATAGTTTGTTCTACGCTAAATCATAAAATCTTACATTTATTATCAAATTTTTGTTTGTGGCATTACTCGGTTATCTTTTTGTCGCGTAAACATTTAAATATTAAGATAGTAATAAAATTGGCATTTTGCTTATGAAAAGAGGAAACATAATTTTGTTCATAGAAGATTAAGATAATCGTTGTAGCTTCTAAAAGTACACTATCTATTTAAATCAATCAAAATCTTTAAAAATATTTGATACAAAGGATTGTAGTTTCCAAAACATGAATAATCATCCAATCGAATTTAAAATAATATTAAATTAGCACTTGTATTATTGACTTCGTATTATATCGACCACAGCGGTGTGATAGCTATTTCTACACGGAGAGAATTTTTTTAAAATTTATCCTGCAAATCATGTTAATTGTGGGACAATATAGTATTTAGGAAATTTTTACTGTGCACTACAATAAATTTGACAGTAGTAAAAT